AGTCTTCTTGACATCGTTAACAAAGAAAAGCAACTGCACACGTGGAAACCTTCGGCTATCTCCCAGTTATTATCTATGACCAGTTGATAAGCTGGATGGTCTCGTGGGGATCGAGACCTTAAAATCATACATTTGTGAAACCAGAATAAAAAGAATGTATATAAATTGTAATTAAAATGAAAGATACCTCAGGAAGCACGCATGCAGAAATAAATACACAGTTTAAAAATTCGAACAGATTATGTTACCGATATATTCATTATAATAATGAATACTGTAGAAATATCGATCATATCATTATGCTAAACAACGATCTTAGCGGTTGCGAGTCTCAAGTTAAACTAATACATGATAATTTCTAAAGTCAAAGTGTTATCGCTATTGTACATAATAATGTGTCAAGTTAAAAAACAATCATAACAAGGACTCAATAATTCCATGTCTGTGTTTAAATTGATCCCGTTCTTTTGTCGTTTAATATTTATCATTTCAGAAATCAGTCGCTTATTATAATTCCTCTCATTATCTAGGATTTCCACCTTATTCGAAGTGAAATTATTATTGTCACACCTCCTGTGTTCAGACATTACAGATTTTGTCGGTTTAGATCTATTGATGTCATTTTTATGTTCAGATATCCTTGTCTTTAATTGTCTGCTGGTCTGTCCCACATAAGACGCGTCACATTCATTACATGATATTCTGTATACTACATTTTTTTTCATATTTGCAGGAATCGGATCTTTTTGTGTTTTTATCATTGTGCATAACTTGTTAAGACTAAAATATCATGTATTAGTTTAACTTGAGACTCGCAACCGCTAAGATCGTTGTTTAGCATAATGATATTGATCGATATTTCTACAGTATTCATTATTATAATGAATATATCGATAACATAATCTGTTCGAATTTTTAAACTGTGTATTTATTTCTGCATGCGTGCTTCCTGAGGTATCTTTCATTTTAATTACAATTTATATACATTCTTTTTATTTTGGTTTCACAAATGTAAATATGAGAATTTTACAATAGAATTATTTATTATTTTTAAATTTTTCCGAAATTGATTCTATGTAAGGAATTGTAAACTATGTAATTTTATCCCTAACATTTTCAGATTTTTTATCCTTATGATTGCCTAAGTTTCTTTTAGTTAATGTCTTGATTCTTAGTCGTATAGTATCAAAAATAAACTTTAAAGGATAATCATTGTCTAAAAGAATCCTAATAATGTGATCTAAATTCTTCTTATAAAAATTTGGGTGTGAAATTAATAAAACTTTGTCAACCATTTCAAAAATTATGCCTTTCTTATGAGAGAGTGTTGAGAGTGATAATTGAGATTCTACTCGAGAAAATTGGTTTATAAATCAAATTTTGAGAGATTTTGGGAGATAGCTGAAGGTTTCCACGTGTGCAGTTGCTTTTCTTTGTTAACGTCAAGAAGACTAAAATTTAGCCGAAACGTATTTGTATTCAATTATGTTAAATACATTTAAATATACTGAGGTTCGTCCAGTAATTTAAGCGCATCGATTACAGCGCGGATTTTTAATTGTCCTATATTAATTTATGATTTATCAATTAAATTGTTATTAGAAGGAATCTTGTTACGATAGTATAATATGTATTATTACTGGCTTATATAATATAGTTTACTTTATACATAACTGCGAAATGTTCATTAATAGATAAATGTATTAATACATTTCTTTTTCTTAAGTTTTGCTGTAAAAAGAGGGATGCGTTCAATATTTTTATAAATGTTTTAATAATAATGCTAAAACTTGTAATTCGGGCCACTAAATGACGCGATAAATACTTTCGCTGCGATACCTACGGAAATTATCGAACTTCCATAAAATTATCAAACTCAACAATTCGAAAGAAATAGCGAAATACGGCAATTTCGTTCACGTAATAGTAAGGTAACTCAATGTACGATTGTAGTATGGGAGTCCATACATTTATCATTAAGAGTGGTATTATTAATATTATTAGTGTTATTAAGATTATTAATTTAAGTTTCTAATTTTAATCAATTAAATTATCTCTATATATTAATTCCAAAACATTGTGTATTCCATTTGAAGGTTAAATCTCTATATTGTCATATCATCTAAGTTTTCCTAGATTATAAGAACATAAATTTTGTTAAATGTAGAAGGATCTTCAATTTAAGGAGGAAGATACGTGCTACGTCACTTTTGTTAATGTCATGTTTTTTTAACATAAGATTTTTCTATACATTTTTTTCCTAAATATTCCTGATAAATCTTGTTTCCTGCCACTTTTCTTATTTGCTTTCACCTATCGTTTTTAGTCCTTTTTTCAATCTACTCTTAAGACCCGTCTCGAATATTCAGTCTGACAGATATTTTACGATTCATCTCTAAACGGATTCGTGAGTCATCGATACTCACATATCTCAATTCCTTTCATCCCCATTACATATATTTTTGGTATTCGAAAATGTCACGTTATTGTTTAAAATTTATCAAAATCTCCACCTCTTTTATCATAGTGAAAATCTCTAGTTCTCTGATCAGTCTGTTCTCGTAAGCTGCGAAGAACACATCTCCGATTTAGTCTATACTGAGAAACCTATTTAGTTGAATTAATTAATTTCTTGTTTGAATATGGGCAAACAAATCCTTAATGCAATAAAATAATTTAGTTGAAGCCACATTTGATTATTGTAACAATGTTATCAGATATCAATGTTTATCAGAAACAAGTGAAATGTTACAATAACCAAATGCTTTGCTTCAACTAAATCATTTTATTGCATCAATTAATTTCTTGTTTGAATATGGACAAACAAATCCTTGATTGATTTAACTAAATGAGTTTCTCAGTGTAAGCTTGCCTGTATCATCATTGAATAAAGTTTCAGGTCAGAAGACAATTGTCGAGTCTTTTTAATACTTTACATATTACGATGCGTCTCGCTCGTAACAATATTCGCGATCGACAACTGAGAATACTCAGCAGAGGCGGAGGTCCCCTTGGTTTTTGCTGATTGCATCACGTATAAGGCTCGTAATTTGCCTTTTGATTGTCAGGAACATCCGACGGAGGCAGAGCATTCTACCCCCTTGTCTCGTCTACTCAGCAGAAGTGATAGGAATCGATTTCGAACGATGTTGAGAACGCTTCACCCCCCCCCCCCCCCCGATTCTTGAATCAGGATGCTCGCGTAGCAATCTAGGATTTCTGATGGACTTGCGGGATTTGGATCATAGGCAGATCACACAAAAAGCCGTTCTGATAAAATGAGTTGTTTTATACTTGGCAAAATTTGCTAGCGCCGCGATCTCATTATAGTTCGACTCCGTTCGCGATTTTCCCCCCTGATCTGTATCCCCACGTGCGTGTTTATACAATTCATAAAGGGTAGCGATCGGTGGTATTCGGCCACTTTCGCGCGACTTTCAGTATCTGTGCACATTCTATTTTACTTTAACGGGAACAATACTGTTCTCGGGAGTGCATCGTTACAAAGGAACTTTTTTGCAATATAGATTCCTCGTTACTTATATCTTTTTGTAAGTCTTTATATGAAATTTCCAGATTCCGTATTTTATGACATCAATCCTCGCAAGTATAAATCGGAGTTTTTAATGTAAATTTGTACAGTTTTAAAAAACTTTTTGGTGATAAGAACTATTTTTGACAGTATCTAAAATAGTTCTTAGCATCAAAAAGTTTTTTAAAATTCTGTGCAAATTTACATTAAAAACTCCAAATTATACTTGCAAGGATTGGTGTCACAAAATACGGAATCTGGAAATTCCATACAAAGACTTATAAAAAGATGCAAGTAACGAGGAATCTATATTGCAAAAAAGTTCCTTTATAACGAGAACAGTATCGTTCCCATTAAATTAAAATAGAATGTGCATAGGTACCGAAAGTCGCGAGAATATGGAATCTGGAAATTCCCTATTTATCATATAAAGGCATACAAAAAGATTCAAGTAACAAGGAATCTATTTTGCAAAAAACTTCCTTTCATAAGCGAATGTAATTTTGTGTCATCGTCATTTCTGGAATAGCGAATAATAACATTCGAACAATTTTGTTAACATTTTTTAATTTCTATAACATCGTTTATATTCTTATTATATTGATGATCATCAAGATTTGACCGAAACGTCTATTTTATTATATTCAAATTTGTAAATATATTTACGATTTTTACTAAAGATATCTTGCATTATAGCTGTATGCTCATTATTTATGTTTTATATTCACCTCTAAAAGTTAAAAAAATATATTTATTTGTTTTATATCTTTGGAACTAATCAATGAATTGCAATCATTCATTTTTAACATTCCCAATGCAATCCACTCAGCGCACAACTTGCATAGGAAACCAATCCGAATTCGCAAGCGCTTCATGCGTGTTATGTGCACATTGAAAAAACGGAACGATTTCAAAGCGTTGCGCATCAGTATTGCAGTTCACGCGCTTTATGCGTAACTCGGAACGCACCTCAAAGTAAGTTTACTGTCAAGATGCGCGCGCAGAGAAAGATAGGTTGTCCCGATATTTTGTCTCTCACACCGTTTTGCCAAACCCAGGTATACATAGCTAATACTGGATCCATCTTATATGTCTGAGTCTGCTGAATGCGAATGGCAAAAAACGCCATTTTTGGTCCCTTTCATTCCAATTTATTCAAAATCCTAACATACTAGGCACATTCTAAACAACAGCATCGTGTTCAACAAAAAATTCTCAGGAAATGTACTATCACACTTCGAAGAAAGTGATTTTTTTGTAGCACTGTGTAATAGTATAAGTAAACATTCTTAATATTAGAAGATTCTTAGTATTAGAAGATTCATATACATAATATAATATTCAATAGAATTACTAATAAAATTATTTCAATATTTAGTTCTTGTAATGCTAGTACTGCAAAATAACTTGTTTGCTATGAATGATTACACCTTTTATAGAACACGAAGATTTCATTCATAAATATACATTTTTTTTACTTGTATAAGCAATTTATTGATGCAATTATAATTGTCTTATTTATCAAGTTTGTATATAACACACAATGTAAATACTATATTAATACTTGTTTAATATTTATGTGGTCTAAATGGATAATTTGGATCAAACAATTTTGGATCTTTAACATATTCCGGTTCTTTGGTCCAATAACCCATTAAACCTGAAACATAAAAAATAAATGTTTATAATTATAATTTGATGTACAAATCTGTTTTCTTAAATTAAAAGCAAAATATAACAATAAATTTTGAATGCTATTAAGAACCAACACTGGATATTTGTGTGTAAATTAATTTATTCATACGACAATGGTTACATTCAGCAGAATGTTTATTTTGCAGATGTTGGAAGTTTTTTCATGCTGATTAGATTATACTTTTAGATTTAAAGGAATGATCCTATCTCAGCAGAAAACCATAAAACGATTGCAAAATTGTTGTATTCTGTTGAACGCAGACATTAACCCTTAAACGGCACACATAAGTCATTTGTGTCCATGCGTTTTCGAATGATTCTTATTCCTCATATATCTTCGCGCCTAGCCCTATGCCAGCCCTTCCTGAAAAATCTTTGTGATGGGAGAAATATGTGATAATAACGGCGACACGAGACCTCTGTGTGATGTCAAGTAGTAGAGACTCAAAATCGCACGTAGAACTAAAGTGTGTGAATCATGTGTGTCGTTTAAAAGTATCTTTTTCACAAGTGAATTTAGTTATTTTGTCATTTTAGAATTCAGCTTATTTCATAATGTATATGTATGTATGTATGTATGTATGTATGTATGTATTAGGTGATGTATGTATGTATGTATGCATGTATGCATGTATGCATACATACATACATATACATTATGAAATAAGTTGAATTCCAAAATGCATGTATGCATGTATGTGTGCACGTACGCACGTACGCGCGCACGCACGCTCGACCGATCAATTCTAAATTTTTTTTATGAAACTCTGGATCAGACAAGAAATGTGTTACTAATAATTTATTAGTACACATGTGATTATGGTACATGTAATGCAATTTGCGGCAACCTGGTAAGTGATCATAATTTTTCAATTTGAACATCAATGTCCGTTATTATAATAACTTGTTTTATAATTTTAAACTAAGATCGTATATTCATTCTAGATAATCAAAGAAATGGATAACATTCTTGTATAAAGATGATGATTTGTACTTGGATTGTAGCAGGGTATAAGTGTAACAGGATATAAGTTTCATCTACTTATAATAGTTCTGTTAATCGTTGAAAATGACTTCAAAGTAAATCGAAACGCGTACGATTGTTATAATATCAAAGTGTAATCATTATTGCGCACTAAGTATTGCGATAACTCATATTTCACCGTACATTCTTCTTTAATTTTTACATATAAGTTATTTTTGATATAAGAAATAAAAAAACCTAGTCTCAATTTTGAAAACTAAAAATTTGTTTACGTGACAATATTTTGGCTCGCCAATTCACTATGTAAAATAAGTTCCACTATATAATACGAAAATTCTCTCCTTTAAAATAAATTTTCTGCTTTAATTTTTCTTCCTGACTACCTGCGGCGGCCATGTTGGAATCGTGTCTTCAGAAACGAGGAATGATATGTTAATTTATGTTGCGTGCCATTTTTAAATAAAGACAATTTGGATGAAATGAAATAATGAGATTACTTTAAAATACTTGTAAAAATTAATAAACACTGTTTTTTCCTTCCTTGACAGTCAGCAAATGGTCGTAAAAGGCACATAAAGTAAGCCCTATATTCGGGCAGAAACACACAGTCCGACAGCTGTTAAAACGAGTAAAATATATGCTTTTACATATAAAATTCTAGGATAACTTTAGTTTTCATCGATAATTACGACTTTGATAAGTACGAGACAAGTCACATTTTCACAATTAAGCAAATAATAACGAAAGAGCACGCAACATAAATTCACCGTCAAAACGTCACTTTTCCACGCCTATAACTTCGTCCATTTATCGTGATGCGGCGCTGTAACACACAAACAAGCACGAGCCCACAGTACGTGCTCGCCTGCAGCGCGCCGAAAGTGAATGAGATAGCGAACTCGTTCTCACACTAGTCGCTTGTTTCAAGCGACCGAAAATGCTTTCTCGGCAATCTCGACCGCTCGGCGGCCCTAGGCATCAATAAGGGGCGGGGGCATCATAAATAACATATAAGTTTTAATAAATTGTAGTAATAGTGTATCCCTCCCCTTAATCCAGAATAGTATAAATTATATTAAAACACAATAGTTTACGAGACTTAACTGTTTACTTTTCATGCGTGTTATATAAATAGTATATCTCCCCTTCGAACTCGAGTAGCAAGAATAGTTCAGTAGAAGTAGAATTTTACCGGAAAAAAATTATAAACCATTTCTCTTCACGAAAGTCTCGAAAGAAAAGTCTCCATCAGAAAAGAAATGTTTGAAACTTGAGACTTGTGAAATATACGAAAAAAACCGAATAAAATAATTACAAATAGCACGTTTTTCGCTTATAAAACGAAAGATATTGATTGAAAAAAAATGAATCGTATGAAAAAAAATCGGTATAAAAAAATGTAGGTATTCAAAATAACTACAAAATGAGACATGGAACATTAAAATCGATCTATTAGTTCAGTAGAAAAAAAATAAAAAACACTTTTGATGGAAAAGTTCTTTTTTTCACTCGTTCTCTGTTCATTGAGATTTAAATGCAAAACTTTGAAATTCTCGTAAAATGTAGCCCCCGTAGCCGCCGACGAACAAATCTAGCCCTGAACAAGCCTGAAATGTTCATTAGTTTTTGCAAAAAACTATTTGTCACTAAAAACCTGTCGGAAAACTTAATTTCTTCATCTTTGAGCAGTTGCACAGCAATTTACAGGGGTGATTTTTCTTCTTCAAGAATTGCACTATCACATACACTTAATAACAAAACGATTTTTTGCAGTTAAATTTATAAAACGACTTAAAAAATGAATATCTTCAAAAAAATGGAAATGATTTCGTTAATATACATCATATCAAATAGCCGTATGAAGCATTCAAAATCTGACATTTTCTACGAATTTAAAAAAAAAATACCCTCCGATTATTAGGAGCCGAGATAACAATTTGTTTTGCATAAAATCACTGTGGTTCTAGTTTTTAAGATTAAGAGTTCCGTCTGGCAACAATTTATCAAGAATTGAATTTGCTGTTAAAAAATTCTCGAATTTTTTACTGCCGAAAAAGTTTGTTTAAAACCATTGGAAAGTTGAAGAACGCGAGCGAAACAATGCGCCGGGCGTAGTGAGGGACGCAGGGTTGATAGAAAACGTATTTAAAAAAAAACAAAACATTCAGTTTTTTTTGTTTAAAACATGTTTTTAATGTTTTATATACAGGATGATCCAAAAGTATGGAAACGGCCAAATAACTGTGGAGGAATGCACTTTGGGGAAAAAAGTTTCAGACAAAAGTCTTAGGTTTTTTTCCTGGCTATTCAATAGTGACCTGAGATTTGACCTTGACCGTGACCTTGAATATCATTTCAAAGTCAAATTTACTTTTTTAAATAGGAACACATATTTTTGACCACAAGAATGGAAACAGCGGAAAATTTTACGTCCGCCTGTGACTTTGATCATGACCTTGACCATGCCCTTGAAGGTCAGTTCAACGTCAAGTTGACATTGTCAATAGAAATTCCTGTAAATTGGTATCTATGGGTTTTCGGGGTCGCTGATTACGATTTTGAAGTCGATTTTCAAAAATTCAAGATGGTGGATCCAATATGGCTGACGAAATTTGAAAAAACTATTGAATTTTTCTGCAAATTGGT